GTATTTTTAAAGAGTATTTTTTCAAGGTACAACACAAGCGTGGACTTTTTGAAGAATATTTTTTTTTCAGGCCCAACAGTCGTGGACTTTTTAAAGGATATTTTTTCAAGGTCCAACACAGGCGAGGACTTTTTAAAGGATATTTTTTCAAGGTCCAACACAGGCGTGGACTTTTTAAATATATTTTTTCAAGGTCCAGCACAGGCGTGGAGGTTTTAAAGAATATTTTTTCAAGATCCAACACAGGCGTGGATTTTTTAAAGGTCTACAATAAAATATTTTTAAGAAGGGCTCAAATAAGCGTGGACTTTTTAAAGAATATTATTTTAAGGGAACCCCACCCATTCTCGATTTTAATTTTTCAAGATTTTCAATGGGCTGGCAAATCAATACCAATGCTTGTTAAGGTTTGTAACTTTGCACATATATATTTGAATATTTAATAAAGAAGAAAAATAATTTACAAAAAAATTTTGTTATTGTTTTGTTGTTGTTTTTTGTAATTAAAGAAAAGTCCTTATTTTTGATGGCGGGCATGATAACTCCTCACTGGAACATCGGAATCCGAAAATTCCAATGGTGTTAGAAAGAGTACATGTCTGGCTCTGGTATGAACTAGGATTATTGACTTCGCTCTAAAATTAACAAAATGGCGGACCATTGAAAAAATATTTTTGAAAAATCGCCGAATTTCGACCAAAAACCATGTTAAAAAAAATCGGCTATATCTTCAATAGTTCTCGAGATTTTCACTTGAAATTTTGTAGAGACATTCTTGAATTAGTGTAGAATCGAATTAAATCAAAAAAATTTTGACCCCGAGAATGGGGGGGGGGGGTCCCCTTAAGGACTGTGCTAGGGTAGACTCTCTAAAGAATAGGTCCAGCACATGCGTGGTATTTTTAAGGATATTTTTTCAAGGTACAACACAAGCGTGGACTTTTTGAAGAATATTTTTTTTCAGGCCCAACAGTCGTGGACTTTTTAAAGGATATTTTTTCAAGGTCCAACACAGGCGTGGACTTTTTAAGGATATTAAGGATATTTTTAAGGATATTCTTTCAAGGTCCAATACTGGCGTGGACTTTTTAAGGATATTTTTTCAAGGTCCAATACAGGCGTGGACTTTTTAAGGATATTTTTTCATGGTCCAATACAGGCGTGGACTTTTTAAGGATATTTTTTCAAGGTCCAATACAGGCGTGGACTTTTTAAGGATATTTTTTCAAGGCCCAACACAGGCGTGGACTTTTTAAGGATATTTTTTCAAGGTCCAATACAGGCGTGGACTTTTTAAGGATATTTTTTCAAGGTCCAATACTGGCGTGGACTTTTTAAGGATATTTTTTCAAGGTCCAATACAGGCGTGGACTTTTTAAGGATATTTTTTCAAGGTCCAACACAGGCGTGGACTTTTTAAGGATATTTTTTCAAGGCCCAACACAGGCGTGGACTTTTTAAGGATATTTTTTCAAGGTCCAATACAGGCGTGGACTTTTTAAGGATATTTTTTCAAGGTCCAATACAGGTCCAATACAGGCGTGGACTTTTTAAGGATATTTTTTCAAGGTCCAATACAGGCGTGGACTTTTTAAGGATATTTTTTCAAGGTCCAATACAGGCGTGGACTTTTTAAGGATATTTTTTCAAGGTCCAATACAGGCGTGGACTTTTTAAGGATATTTTTTCATGGTCCAATACAGGCGCGGACTTTTTAAGGATATTTTTTCGAGGTCCAACACAGGCGTGGACTTTTTAAGGATATTTTTTCAAGGTCCAACACAGGCGTGGACTTTTTAAGGATATTTTTTCAAGGCCCAACACAGGCGTGGACTTTTTAAGGATATTTTTTCAAGGCCCAACACAGGCGTGGACTTTTTAAGGATATTTTTTCAAGGTCCAATACAGGCGTGGACTTTTTAAGGATATTTTTTCAAGGTCCAATACAGGCGTGGACTTTTTAAGGATATTTTTTCAAGGTCCAATACAGGCGTGGACTTTTTAAGGATATTTTTTCCAATACAGGCGTGGACTTTTTAAGGACCAATCAGGCGTGGACTTTTTAAAGATATGTTTTCAAGGTCCATTACAGGCGTGGACTTTTTAAGGATATTTTTTTAATGGTCCATTACAGGCGTGGACTTTTTAAGGATATTTTTCAGGGCCAAAACAGGCGTGGACTTTTTAAAGTATATTTTTTCAAGGTTCATTACAGGCGTGGATTTTTTAAGGATATTTTTTCAAGGTCCAATACAGGCGTGGACTTTTTAAGGATATTTTTTCAAGGTCCAATACAGGCGTGGACTTTTTAAGGATATTTTTTCAAGGTCCAATACAGGCGTGGCCTTTTTAAGGGTATTTTTTCAAGGTCCAATACAGGCGTCGACTTTTTAAGGATATTTTTTCAAGGTCCAATACAGGCGTGGACTTTTTAAGGATATTTTTTCAAGGTCCAACACAGGCGTGGACTTTTTAAGGATATTTTTTCAAGGCCCAACACAGGCGTGGACTTTTTAAGGATATTTTTTCAAGGCCCAACACAGGCGTGGACTTTTTAAGGATATTTTTTCAAGGTCCAATACAGGCGTGGACTTTTTAAGGATATTTTTTCAAGGTCCAATACAGGCGTGGACTTTTTAAGGATATTTTTTCAAGGTTCAATACAGGCGTGGACTTTTTAAGGATATTTTTTCAAGGTCCAATACAGACGTGGACTTTTTAAGGATATTTTTAAAGAGGTGGACTTTTTAAGGATATTTTTTAAAGTCCAATACAGGCGTGGACTTTTTAAGGATATTTTTTTATTGGTCCATTACAGGCGTGGACTTTTTAAGGATATTTTTTCAAGGTCCAATACAGGCGTGGACTTTTTAAGGATATTTTTTCAAGGTCCAATACAGGCGTGGACTTTTTAAGGATATTTTTTCAAGGTCCAATACAGGCGTGGACTTTTTAAAGGATATTTTTTCAATAATACAGGCGTGGACTTTTTAAGGATATTTTTTCAAGGTCCAATACAGGCGTGGACTTTTTAAGGATATTTTTTCAATCCAATACAGGCGTGGACTTTTTAAGGATATTTTTTCAAGGTCCAATACAGGCGTGGACTTTTTAAGGATATTTTTTCAAGGTCCAATACAGGCGTGGACTTTTTAAGGATATTTTTTCAAGGTCCAATACAGGCGTGGACTTTCAAGGACTACAATAGGTGTAGAATATTTTTCCCTGGACTATAATAGTTGTATAATATTTTTCCCTGGACTATAATAGTTGTATAATATTTTTCCCTGGACTATAATAGTTGTATAATATTTTTCCCTGGACTACAATAAGTGTAGATTTTTTTTCAAGATTTTTAAAGGATATTTGTCCATGAACTACAAAAGGTGTAGATTTTTTTAAGAATATTTTTTCATGGACTACAACATGTGTAGATTTTTTAAAGAATATTTATTTAAGGACTACAATGGGTGTAGATTTTTTCAAGATTATTTCCTACAGGGTCTTTGTGGGCGTTGATATCTTAAGGAATATGTTTAATATTGTCTTTATAGGGGTGGATTTTTTTAAGGAATATTACTACTGGCGTGAAATTGTAAGGAATATTATTACAGGCATGGATTTTTAAAGAATATTTTCCAAGGACTTCTTCCTTCCTAAAACAAACCATGATTTCTTCGTGTGGACAAAAAGAAGGACCACTTATTATGGGTCATAAGATAATCAAAGGGTGTTTTTATAGAACTACGAAACATATTCTTATATAATGTTGTTATAGAAACAAAATAGGCTCATTATATATAAAGGAAAACCTTGTTCTAGAAGTCGAAATGTAGACCAAAAGACCAAGAGTTCTTTGTGTGGACAAAAAGTAGGATCACATATTATAGGTCATAATATGATCAAATTGTCTTATAGAAATGTTTTTATAGAAGACAACATATTTTCCGTATAGTTGTAGAAAATCAACAAAAGGGATTTCATATTGTCGTAGAAGACTTTTGGTATTCACATATGAAACAAAAGCGTCCTCTTATAAAATAACTTTTGGGAAATCTGGCAGACTCCTTATAAATGGACTTGTAGAAAAAAATACCAATCAGAGCTTCCAGTTTATTTGTTATAAATTTAGGCAATGGGTTCGCATAGATAACCACAATGTCGAGATGTTATGTTCAGAAGGGAATCAGGAGGTGTCTTAGGAGATCGTAAAGCCTTGTATTGGCTATAGGTTGTAGATTTTGACCATAATACAGAAATGCATTGCAAAATCTTTACAACTTTAATTCAAAAATTGTGAATGCTAGTTTGCCCTATCGACCAACACATCGTGATATCCTTTTTAACACAGTGTGCATGTATATGTGCATACATACGTAAAGGTAGGCAAATATTCACTACAGCCATTTCTCCTATAAAACTCTGATTTTTTTGCAGCACAAAATGCATTTTCCTCAGTATTTCACTCTGTACAAAAAACGACACACGTTTAATTTATGTGGTCGTTGCATATAATATATTTTTATAATGGCAATTTTTATCGTTCGGTTTTCCGCTTTTTTTTTTTTTGTAGTGCGAAATAAAAAAGTTGAACAACAACAATTTAAAATTGCAAGTCCCAAAAGAAGCATTTAAATGTAATTTTATTCGAATGAAAAAGCTATTAGTGCAACGAAGAATTATTTTTGGGGTAAATGAAAAAATAACCAATTTTCCAAATTAGATGTTTGAGTAACTCAGTGAGGATTCTAGGATTTTGATGGAAAATTTATTTAAATTCAAATTGAGTTTATTAAAAATTTAATAAACATTAAAAAATATTGTTTTTAACCATCCATATCATTACATATAATAAACACCATTGTGCAAAATTATCTCTTTCAGATATGTTTATTGTTTTTGTTCATTGCGGAGTGTCACTATTCGGAAAATAAATCCTTTTTAATTAACTAATGAAACAAATAATCATCTTTGAAATATTTACAAACATAGTCACTCACCTGGAAGATAATTGCTTCTCGTTCCGCTTGACTGGCTTTTTGGAAAATATTATTCATGATTTCTAGGTATTTGTCACGTGGCAATGATGTCGCATCATCCTTATCGAAATAATCGATAAAGTCATAGAGTAGAAAATATGTACCTGTAATACAAAAACAACAGCAATTATAATCACGCAATAATTAAACGGAGGGTTTTTGATTTGTAAAGAGACAAAAATTGTATTTTTCAAATTAAATAATAAATGAACAGAGACTTAAAGTTGAAGTGATATATTTTAATATAGTAAAAATTGAAGCTTATGATAGAAAAATGAATAAATAGTAAAATATCTAAAATTAATAGAGAGATCTTGAAAACACCGAAAAATGCCCAGAAAAATAGGTTTTAAATTTTCAAAATACCGAATATTGGGGCTGCCTTTTTGGGGCTATACGAAAACGGGGATCGGTATTGATATTTTTTGGTACGAAATACCAAATTACAGCCATATATTCTTTTTCCGATAGGTCAGAAGGTATTCTCTACATAAAACCAAAATATTTTGAATATAAGAAGATTTAAAAGTACAAAGAAGCTCGTAGGTTTTCTTATAAAAATCCATAAAATATTTTATAGCAGAGATGTAGATCTTCCTATAAAGGTTCCTATGAACAATAGAATATATATGTAATGGAGACCAAAAATTCGATTGATCCAATGCAGATTACATTTGAGGAATCGAATGAGAAATATTTTTGTAAAACATATTCTCCTTCTCTCTCCAATCAGTTTTTAGGCTGTTTGCCGGTAATTAGTTTACAAAAAGACAGATTTTTTGACATCCAAATATTTTACAAAAATGTCGTTTCATGTCCTTCTCAATATACTCGTCAAGGACTTTCGTCTCCCTAAAATATACCACCGCTCAAATCTTAGCGTTACGAATTTCAATGTATTGTTGAAAATTAAAAGGGGGACCTAAGAATTTTTTAAAGAATATTTATTCCAGGATCATCCATTTGCGGGGAGTGCTTAAGGACCATTATAAGCGGGGACAATCCATACAAGGCGTTGATTTTTTAAATAACAAATTTTCAAGGACCATTTAAGGCGTGGATTTATAAAGTAAGACTTCGATTATTTAGGTTTTTTTTCGGTGGACCGAAGCTGGCTGTTTTTCATCATTTAATGAATATTTTCGTAGCGTGGATTTTTTAAAGAAAAATTTTCCAGAGGTCCAAATCAGACTCAGATTTTGCACAGAATATTTTTTCAGAGGATTTTTTATAGAATTTATTTTTCAATGAATATTTTCTCAAGGCTCCTAAAGGCGGGTATTTTTATATCCTTAGCCTTATGGCTAATGAGGGTATATACACTTTGATGCGATGAAAATATGCCTCATCGAAATATTGGTTTTAGACCCGATGTTTATACCCTTCACCACACTGTGGTACAGGGTATTATGTCTTTGAGCATATGTTTGTAACAAGCTAAAGGAAACGAGATAGACCGATGGTTCCTTTGGAGAATATGCATAGAATCACTTTTTAAGTCGATTTAAGCATGTCCGTCCGTCTGTCTGTCCATGTTAAATTGTAAACAAAGTACAGGTCGCATTTATGATCCGAATTGGATGAAATTTGGCACAGCTCATTTGTTTGGCCCAAGGACGAGATTTAGATATAGCTCCCATATATATTTTCGTCCGATTTAATGGAAATGGTGTACCCAAGTCCCTATATATCTTTCGATTTGCACGAAATTTGGTATAACGTACTGAATTGGGCCTAGAGTGAAGTCTGCCAAATTTCATGAAAATCGGTCCAGATTTAGATATAGCTCCCATATATAGTTTCGTCCGATTTCATGTAAATGGTGCACCAAAGTCCCTATATATCTTTCGATTTGCACGAAATTTGGTATAACGTACTGAATTGAGCCTAGAGTTATGTCTGCCAAATTTCGTAAAAATCGGTCCAGATTTAGATATAGCTCCCATATATAGTTTCGTCCGATTTCATGTAAATGGTGCATCAAAATCCATATATATCTTTCGATTTGCACGAAATTTGGCGTAAAGTACTGAATTGAACCTGGAGTGATGTCTGCCAAGTTTCATGAAAATCGGTCCAGATTTAGATATAGCTCCCATATATAGTTTCGTCCGATTTCATGTAAATGGTGCACCAAAATCCCTATATATCTTTCGATTTGCACGAAATTTGGGATAACGTACTGAATTGAGCATAGAGTGATGTCTGCCAAGTTTCGTGAAAATCGGTCCAGATTTAGATATAGCTCCCATATATAGTTTCGTCCGATTTCGTGTAAAATGCACACCAAAGTCCCTATATATCTTTCGATTTGCACGAAATTTGGCATAACGTACTGAATGGAGCCTAGAATGATGTCTGGTATGCTTCGTGAAAATCGGTCCAGATTTAGATATAGCTCCCATATATAGTTTCGTCCGATTTCATGTAAATGGTTCACCAAAGTCCCATATATCTTTCGATTTGCACGAAATTTGGCATAACGTACTGCTGGAATGATGTGTGCTGAGTTTCGTGAGTGTCGATTCAGCTCTAGATATATATATTTTCGTCCGATTTAATCTTAATAATGTACCAAGTTCTTATGTTGCATAGCGTTTTGAATTTAATCCAGAATAATGTGTGCCAAGTTTAGTGAAAATCGGTTGAGATTTAGATATAGGTCCTTATATTATAGATTGATTTTAAGTAATCAACGCACCAAGGAACCAATATATGGCTGATAGGAACAAAAGGTACTGAAATTAGTATAACCTAACCTGTGACAAGTTTCGTTGAAATCGGTTCATATTTGGATATAGCATCCATATATAAGTAAATTGTGCATCAAACTCCTAATATTTGTTAGATTTACATCAAATTCTGCACAACGTACAAAATTGAGCATAGAATAACGTAGTTGGGTTTTCTAGAAGTACAGACCTAGCTCAACGGATGACCTATTGATATTTGTTTGAAGTCGATTTACATACTTTTGTTCCATTGTAACAAACGAATGACATGTTTATGGATAGATCTTGGTCGTTTCACATTTAGATAAATATCACATATTTTGTTTCATACAATTTCATGATAATAGTCCTGTTTAATATACCCATAGTGGTGAAGGGTATCATATAGTCGGCCCCGTCCGACTTTACTACATTCCTTACTGTTTTTTTTTTTGGGAACAAATCCTTTCCGGAAAATTTGGAGTCGATTTGCACATGTCCTTCCGTCCGTTAACCATCTGTCTGTCTGGCTGGTGTGCACGATAACTCTCAAAGGGAATAATCAATTTGATCCAAACTTTTCAGATCTTAATATTTCTTCTAAAATATATTTATGTTCGAAGATGGGGCAACACCGACTGACACTTTTTTACTTGTTTAAGAAATATTTTCTCAAAGAATATTTTTTCACAGCTCATATAAGCCGTGGATTTTTTAAAGAATATTTTTTCAAAGCTTTTATAGGTGTGGATTTTCTCAAGGCTACTATAAGGCGTGTATTTTTATACCCTACACAACTATGTTGTCAGGGTATTATAGCTTTGCGCAGCCCAAGAGTTTGTAACGCCGCGAATTATTGGTAGACCCAGCTTTAAGTATACCGATCCCCATATCTCGACTTGCAGAGTCGATCTAGACATGTGTATCCGTCCGTCTGTCCATTATAATTTGTAAACACGATACAGGCCACAGTTATGGACTAATCTTCGAAATTTTTAATTTGGGATAGGTTCTGGCCGATGAAGACCCCTATTGTTTTTGTTAAAGATCGGTTAACATTTAGGGAATGAAATGGACCAAAAATTGATACCATTTATATGGTCGTATGTACTCAGATGTGGGAGTTACACTTAAATATGTACAGGTGCTTACGTACTGAGATATTATATAGTAGCGGTGATCGCCTTGAAATTGTCCATAAGGATCTAGGTATGGTCAAGGACAACACCTTTAATTTTTGGTTATGATCAGATAATAATATTAGGATGAGGTGGACCGAAAACTTAATTTTGTGTGTTTTTTCGAGTCCACCTATAGGTCATTTGAAAGCCGAACATCACAACATAACCCACGGTGAAGGGAATCTGGACACGTAATTAGAAGGGCTGTACTGAATATTAGTAATATTCTGAAAATATGTCAGTGTAATGAAGAGGTGCTGTTGACCTCTAGTCGGTCAAAAGGGTGCAAAGATCGCGAAATATTGTCCAAGCTCAGAATATAGAATCGCAGAATGTTATATTTTCGAGGAAGTTGTGTAGGGTATCATATGGTCGGCCCCGTCCGACTATACTGCTGCGCTCACTGGTTTAAAGAATTTTTTTTCAAGGTTCCTATAAGGCTTATAGTTTTTAATGAATATTTTTCCAAGGCTCCTATAGGCGTGGAATTTTGAAAGAATATTTTTTCAAGGCCTCTTAAAGGCGTGGATTGTTTCAAAATATTTTTTTAAGGCTTGCTACAATGACACCAGGATTATAAAACTGACAAATTATAGTTTCAATGAAATGCTTTATGGTGTGTTTCGTACGATATATATGCTTGATAGGTCCATCGTAAAACAATATTCGCACAGAATTCCCTCCAGGTAATTTTATTTTTTTTGCCTTATAACAACTTCAAAAGACCCTATATCGTTATTCAGTAATATAGAAAACTGTTGACCTTGACACATTTTCTATTCACGTTGCACTCGCCCTAAGGACCTTTGATTGCGGAAAATAACACCAAAAACACAATAAAGGACTTTAGGTGTGAAACAAACAATGTTTGGTTTGAAGTGCTGCCATGACCACTGCAGTAACAATGGATGGATGACTGACTGACTGAATGAATGGTTAGAGGGATAACTAGCGTTCGTTAGGTGAAAATGTATCCAAGCGTGCCGTGTACAAAAAGTTTACAATTTCAGTTAGCAACGTGTGCTAGCTTTGTATTCATTCAATATGACAACAACGAAAATGACTTACATTTGGGTAAAAGGTGAATAAAAAGGAGTGATAGAAATATGTATTGATATCTCTCTACATATAAAAATTAATTACGTGTATGTTCGTGATCATTAAAATTCTCAAAAGAAATTGACGTGTGCCGACGTTAAGTATTCCTACACC